AGGTATGTAAATGCAACATGGTGATAACGCCCAACATCGATTCTTCTACGAAGCTAAGTTTTGACATCATCGAAACGAGCATATCTTATATATGAGACTTTGCCCTCACACTGGGCCATCATTGTTCTCTTGCTCGGATGGTCTAACTTCTGTAGTGAAAGTAATAAGGCAACTCAAATTTTATCTTCTCCCCCTCGTGAGTAAGGTCGAGGGCCTCGCCCATCCAGGGGCACTTGGACCGCGAGGTTGTCGGCCTCGGGGAGGTATGGATAGTTACGGCTCCAGAAGATGAAGTCCCCGACCTCGTCGGGGGCAGAACCACTTACTCGCCCAGACGGCTTTTTTCGATCTTCTTACCCACCTTGAGCTTCACTTGGACATTCTTCACCATACGCTTCTGGGCTGTGGACATCTTACCTGCAAAACAACATGCACGCGTTAGTAAATAGGGAAAATAACAATATGAACAAGCTAAGAAGTAAATGGCTACCCAGAAGTTCCAAAGCCTTCTCGCGAGTGCCACACTCGAGGAGCTCTTTCATATTAATGTATCAGGTCTCCACCTTAGGTCCCCCATCTTCTTCATAAGTAATTTCCCTGCTCCTGGCCACGCACTGAGCGGGGAGAAAACCATCAACAAAGGCCACATGCTTGCCATAGCTAGCCCGATCATCCTCCCCCAGCATGTGCGGATTGGCAAGATAATCATCAGTCCCCCGGGTAAAATGATCACCGCTCCAATAGAAGGGGAACTTCAGCAACCTCTGCCCCTATACCTTGCCCTGCTCGTTGATGATGGACTCTCCACTCTCGTCTGTCGAAACCTCTCAGACAAATGAGGAGTCTTTGGCCCTCTCCGACATGGAACGACTATGTAAAACCTTTCCTTAAACGTCCTAATGGACTCAGAGAAAGGCTTGAATAATTTCCTCCCTGCTTCAGGGAGACCCATCAGAATTGCCTCCCAACAACCTGGCGTTGGAGATGGAAGACAGTGAAGAAGAGGGGGAGAGTGGCTCCAATCTTCAAAAATTCACATGTTATCATGAATGCTCGGACGAAGGCAATCGAGTTCGGGTGCAGTTGGGAGGGCGCCAAATCTAGATATCCAAAAACTGCCACTTGAATATCCGTGAAGGGCAGCCTCAACCCGATCTCCTTGAATACAAACTCGTACATGGGGAACCTCTCCCCGTATGCTGAGCATATTCGATCGTTCTCCCCAGGGGAGTAGACCGTCTAGTCTCCCTTGGCCCCCACCGCCGTGAAGGCATCTTGAGTGTGAAAAGAGAAAAGGGAGGCATGCTCCTGAGGCTCAGCGACAACCCACTTTTCTCCGGAACTACTAGGAGCGGACGCTTCGCCGACATTCCGAGGAGTGAAAACTTCATCAGAACTGCTATCATCCGAAGAGCTCTCCTCAAACAACTCCCTCGTGACTTCATCCACGGAATTGTGAGACATCTCCTATACCTAAAAAGCAGAGGACAAAAATGAATTCAATGACAAAGTCAAATCCACCCTTCCACCGCTAGTCAAGTAAAAGGGCGTGCCAAGGCCCGAGGACAACGTCCCCAACCTAAGCCCTTACTCAAACAGCGCAACAACAGTGCGAGGAGACACCCCTAACAATCCTTAAACCCCCGCGGGGAGATCCTCCTCAGTGCGTTACCCAGAATTCTGTTGAAGATCCACCAGAAAACTCATGAGTACACCGAAAAACACATAAGCTCCACCGACGACAAACTCACTCGTTGTCGCATCGGCATCAGAATCAACAAAAATCTTAAGTTCCTAACGCTCCAGCGACGGCGACGGCGGCAGGAAATGGTCTAACCACAATCAGCTACCAACGTTCGCCGAAAACCACCCCATCTCTACCCAGTTTCTTCCTAACCACATGCAACCTATCAGGTCGGCCTATTTATAAAAAATTCAATAAGTTTATTATTATTATATTGTATTTTGTACTTTGAATTAAAATACGAATATGAAGCCTAGTTATTTTGAACAACTTATGAAAATAAGTTAAAAAAATATTATAAACAATGCATAAGTTGTTGTCATAATTTTTTTTCATAAGTTCTCTCTAACAAACAGTATCACCAAACTTATGCTAATAGATAAACTTGAATGAGACAATGAAAACAAGCATTTAGTCTCAATGATCTTTTAATTTGTTAGTCAATTTATCATTAGTTGAATTTCTTATTTACAAACGTTTAAATGAAGTAGACTTTTAAATAGACTAGTAGATCAGGCATTCAAAAAGGCCAGGCTTAGACTTTAAATTTTTTAGCAGAACAGACTCAGGCTTGACAAAGCCTAACTCGACCCAGCCTATTTCCACCCCTAATCGCAGATGAAGTCTCTGTCCCACCTCAAGTTCTGATCAACCGTCAAGATCAATATATATATATATATATATATATATATATATATATATATATATATATATATATATATATATATATATATATGTATATATATATATATATATATATATATATATATATAGATTAACTTTTATATTTACATTAGAAATTAATTTTATTAAGAGATTAATTGTTATGCACTGTCACTATAATAAATTTTATACTGTCAATACATCACAACCATCCGTTGGTATTACTTTTTAAATGGTTAGAAAAAAAGTCAAAACATTCAAATAAATTTGCAGTTAAGATTAACTATAATGTGAAGATTTTTTACTATGATAGGACATATCAATTAAATTATTTTATTAATTAAAATTTTATAATTTAAAATTGAAACTAGTTTTATTTTTAGAAAATTTTAAATGAAGGAAAATAAAATAGGAAAAAATAAAATAAAGAGTAGTTCAGTAAAATAATGGACAAAAATTTTCTCTATATATGTCATACACGCGCAAACCTTCTCCTCTGCCTCGATAACTGCAGAGAGAAAGATGACGAGAACCGTTTGAGGCCAAACAAAATAAGACGAATCGGCGGTTCGTTCATCGCTTCTCTGGTAAGTAGGTAGGTTGAGCATCATCACCATCGTATTTTTTTCTTCTGCAGTTCCTGGATTTTCGGTTTTCGATTCAAATTGTTATGATGTACATCCTTTAGGTTATGAAATTCTGATTCTTGTTTGTTACTTTAGAAAGTGGAATTCGTTGTTCTCAAATGATGAGTTTGTTATCAATTTTGGCGTCGTTTAGGGTTAGAAATTGTAGTGGAAGTGTAGTGTGCTTTGATACTAATGATAGCTTTGTGTTTCTAGTGTTTACTTTGAATTGTTGTTGTTTACTTGTCCAATGTTTGAAGAATTTAGGGTTTAAGAAAAAAATTAATAAATCACACCGAAACCCCTCTGGTTTGTGAAGCACAAGGACTTCTAAAATTAGTATTGGATGCGCGTATCATCCTCGTGGTACTTCATTTTCTTTTATTATATTAATTTTAAGTGAAATTAGTAGTTTTTTATTTATTAAACTATTAGAGATTTATGTGTTTTAGTTTCTTCGTTATAGCAACTTATCATAATTTCTTATTTTTTTACTTTTTATTGAGGTGTTTTATTATGAATTTAACAATCTAGTTCTCCATAAATACACTTTATAGAGAAACTCTTACTTTATAGAGAAACTCTTATTTTTATGAGGAATTGGGATATGCACTTATCTTATGAAGTAATTTTATATTGTCAACCAATCACCAATCCATCATATATTTTGTCACATCATACTGTAATTTTGAAATTAATGGTATGACATGATTGAATGGTGAATTCTTATTAGATGACAATGTAAAATTATTTTACACCCTCAGGGCACCCATTAAACTCATTTTTTATAGATTTTTTCAGAATGCCATATCTCATACCAGGATCGATACTTGAACTGGGTATCGCACTGCACTCGTACCTATGCATCATAGTCATACAACTTAGTTTTTTATATCGATGTTAGCCGTTTTTAAACACCACTTTGCATTTCCATGTTGCAAAACACGTGAGTATATTGCGGATGTAATTCAAGAAAACACGAATAAGAATTATTTATATTTTAAAACAATAATAGCTTTATAGCTATCTATAAAGTTTAAAGTTTTATTTAGGAGTTTGGAGGCACAGGGGGAGGAGAAGGAAGGGTTTTGGAGGAGGATTTGAAGAAAAAATAGAAAAATCTTTAATATATTTTGAAATTTTGTTTTTGTATAGAATGATAAGTGAATTGTCATTATCAATATATTTTTAATTTTCAAAATAATATAACAAATAGATTATATTTGAAGAATTTATCTCTGAATCCCTCGCTTTATACAATGTTTGAGTTTCCGAAACTAATGGGGTTTTTGTATTATGATTGAAAATAAACCTTCAAAAATTCTCTCCACCCAATTCACTCAATAGTTTCCAAGAATGAATACTTCTAAAATGGTGAAGTATCCGCACTGGTACGGGTGCTCGTACTAGATACATGCATCGGACTTGTGGTACTTTACTCTTTTTTATTATTTCATTTCGAGGGAAATTTATAGTTTTTTTCGTAACAATTTTTTACTTTTTAAATTATTACTATGATGTTTTGTTTTGAATTGAACAATTTAGTTATCTAGTGATATGTTCTATTTAAAAACTCTTTATTGTTGTACTCATACTTTGATTTTTTTTAAATGTCATGTCTCGTACCAGCATCTAGACGGGTACCGTACTCGTACCTATGCATCATACATTTCAATCCTTTCCTTGTTTTTTCAAAGCTTTCTCAAAACTCCCAAACAAAGTCTAACAAAGTTTCAGCACAATCAAAAGCATTTTCTCATCAAACAACGATACATATACTCTATGAAATTTAAACGTCAACAAGCTTCAAGGTTATTTATTTATGGTAACACCAAATAAGTGCTTCAAAATGCATTATTGAGTTATATGGTATTTGATTATTTATTATGATGTTCCTGTGATGCTTTTTTGTGCATAAATTTATCTTGCCTATTTTTGTAGGGCATTTTGTTATTGGTTGTTATTTCATGGAAAGTGTGGGAGATGAAGAACCGGCTTTAAAACGAGCAAAATTGTGTTCGGATGAATTTGTCGGTCTCTCCAGCGGTTCATCTATGGAGGGTGTTGTATGTCCTTCAAGTGACATGTCATCAGTTGAAGGGGACGACGAAGATGTTGCTTCAAAAGGGGTCTTAAAAAGAGAGGAATTTGTAAGGATGATCACTAAGGCATTGTATTCTCTTGGTTACAAGAAGAGTGGGGAACACTTAGAGGAGGAGTCTGGCATACCTTTGAATTCGACTGCGGTAAATCTGTTTAAGCAGCAGATACTTGATGGTGATTGGGACAAAAGTGTAGCCACATTGAATCAAATTGGTCTAGAAGATGAAAGCACTGTTAAGGCTGCCTCAGTTTTAATACTGGAGCAGAAATACTTTGAGCTTCTTGATGCGGATAAGGTCATGGAGGCATTGAAGACATTGAGGACTGAGATTACACGTCTTTGTGTTGATAGTTCTAAAATTCGCGAACTTTCTTCATTAATGTTGTCACCATCTGGCCAAGATGGTTCTTCTGGACGAGATTTTGTAAGGGCGAGGACGACTCGGTCTAAACTGTTGGAGGAACTACAAAATCTGATTCCCCCGACTGTAATGATACCTGAAAAGAGATTAGAACATCTTGTTGAACAAGCCCTCATCTTACAACGAGTAGCTTCATTGTGTCACATCTCATTGAATAAGAAGATATCATTTAATCCAGATCATTGCGATGGAAAATCTCAGATAACATTAGATCAGTTAGCTAATGCTACTGCTGTTTCTGATAATAATGATGAAGTGGTGACGTTGACCAGAGCAGATTTTGAAAGATTTGCAACATGTGCTGTAAAAGTGGACAGGCTAGAAGAAGACTACAAGAAGTTGGTGAGCATGCTTTCTGAAGTCGTGAACCTGCTTCGAGTTCTTCCTCGGTAGATTTTAAATTCTATTGATGTTTTGATTTTTATCAATGAATGTTAGATTCTATGATGTGATTTTTATTTTCATTTTACTTTTTTGTCGAATGCCAAAAGTAGAATTTTTTTTGTCGAATGCTCTCATTTATGCCCAGAAATGTAAGGGCTCTCTTCTATCAAATTTTTTTGACTTCAATATATTTTTCCAGCTATCAACTAATATCAAACACCAAAGTTATTCATTTATTCCAATGCGAAACACTATTACAAGATCAATTAAGGGTACAAAATTAACTTTACTTTTCAATATCAAAGCTTTTCATACTCACCTAGTTGGATGGCATGGCAAAATTCTCTTTCAATCCAACTTAATAAGAGGTTTAAAGTTCATATCAAGTTTTGGAGAAGCAATGATGTTAAATTTCTTGAAGATAGTCTTTTTTAATTTGAAGGAATAGGCCTGTTTGAAAGTTTTCTTTATTAGTTTTCAAAATTCATTATATAAATAATTTCAAATATCTGTTTTGAAAACAAATATTCATTTTATTTTTAAAAATTGTTTAAGAGATGAAAGATTTTATTTGGTTGACACATTTGCATTTATAAAAAAGATGATTCATATATATTCTTTTACATTATTACAAAATTGTTATTTATGAAAAGGAAATTGTTAATCTCACGATATGAGATGGAATAACACTTTGAAAATTAAAAAATACTTTTTAGATTTTAGAAATGCATTTTTGAACGCGTTTTTTATTACTGAAAAACAATTCAATTGAGTCACTTTTTTTTTTCAAAAATCTCTTCACGCTTATCCTATCATTTTATTCCTAAATTATCAAGTTAGTCACTTTTTTTTACACTTATCCTATCATTTTATTCCTAAATTACCAAGTTAGTCACTTTTTTTAGATACATCTCTAAAAAAGTCAAACGTAATTTGTTTTTTGATAAAATGGAATCTTGCATGATCAAAATTTATTGTCAATTTTTATTAAAATCCTTGAAAAAAAACCTTTCATTTTCAATCAAGATTTTAGCTCAAAAACTCCAGTCTTGTGTTGTATCGTTTCAAAAGGAGGCAAAAAAAAATTGAAATTCAAGATAAAAAAACATCATTTCATTTTTCATTGTTCACATTAATCTTGTTTTTGTGTTGTCAAAGTTACACTATTTTCGAAAATGCATTCTGAAACTCAGATGAATTCCTATAAAAATGCTTTTCCAGAATGTTCCCTTTTCAATTTTTAAATATTGTTGCCCTCGGATTGTTTTCCAAAACACGTGTCTATGGATGTCAAAAGTGTCGTAGTGAAAGAGCTAGATATTTGCAAACAATTTACAATCGGACAAGAATTTGAATTTCGTGATCATGTGATTCAATGGATACACACATAGGCATATAATTTGGGGTTCGATGTTGTAATTGGAAGGTCCAACAATAGTTTGGATAGAAGAACTGCATTTCTAATAATAAGGTGCAAAAAAGTGGGACGTATAGAACTCCTCTCCGAAAATTCAAATGAGATGATACCGATTTCGAGAAAATGTGAATGTCTTTTTAAATTGTGTGGTTATCTGTTGTCGAATAAAAAGTAGAAATTTAATGTCATTTATGGTTTACATAACCATGACTTATGTGTCAAGTTAGTCAGACATCCAACTGCATGTCGCCTGGTGCCTAAAGAGAAGGAAATCGTTACGGGCTTGACATTGGATATGGTGAAGGCTAAAAACACACTTGCAACTTTAAAACTCCACATCAAAGAGAAATCGAGAAAAATTGCTTATCTAGAAACCACTGATTTGAAACGACCATCTCAACCGGTAAAAATAAAAAATGCTCCTAACAAGGTCAAACCAATACAGAGTGACAATTCGACGATGCAATCGCCATCCTATTTTGAACATGTTAACAAAGCACTTTTGAAATCGCCTACTCCAAAATCCCAAAAAAATGTTTTTAAAGTAGCTCACATTAGTAAGTCACCTCCTTCATTGCCTCTACCAAAAATCAAGTTCATAGACGATATGACGCTTTTTATGCACAAATACTGAACAAATCGTCAATATTATGAGTGACGGTACTGTGGTTTTCGAGTTACTTCTCGGTAAAGCTGAAGAGGATCATACATTTGCTTGCCAACAACTGGAAATGGAAAATAACGATAAAACCCTAAAGAAAAAGGATAAGATGGTCATCGCAACTAAATTGTGTTCAAGAGTCGGTTATGCGAGGGAAATGTATTATCACCTCTCACATTCGTTGTACTCAAAAGGAACCTCCTAATAGACTAGGGTTAAGGGAATGTTGGCAATGTTTGTTCGTTAAAAGATATTTATAAAAAAAAAAGTAAAAGAGAAAATGTTAGTTTTTTATTAGTGTGCTCGCCAAGGTTTCAAAACCACGTGTCTACGTAATCTCAGGTGTAATAAGAAAGTCAAAGCCTTGTAGTTAGTGTAAAAAATATTTATAGGTTGGTTGATTTTAGAGAATAATGTTAAGTTGCATCTTAGCGTTTAAACGTATGTCTGTACGCTCGCACGATGAATGTTTAGGCATTGTTTGTATTTGCATTACATAGACCGGACTATTCTTTTATAAAAAAAAGTTTGATAAATTGATGTTAATTTTAATTATGAAGGAAAAGTTTTTTTAAAAAATTTTCCTAATTAAATGTATTTTTATGTTTTTGTATTTTTTATTATTTTTATTTTTACTAATAAATTAAGTAAAATTAAATTTAAAATTAAACTAAATTATTAACTAAACTAAATTAATCAAGTTAAATTAAATTAGAAAAGGGATGATTGTAAATAAATTGGACCTTAACTTAGATGTAGGCCCAATACTAATCTATAAAATTTCTAACCCTAATTAATTTTTAATAACATATAAAAAATAATAATAAATTCAAAAAAAGGCCAAATACCCTTTTTGTAATTGATTTTTTTAAGGAAAAAATATTGAAAAAAAGAAAAAAAGAAATTAAAAGTTTGAAGTTGTTGACTTATTTAGATCCCCTTTTTAGAATTAATAAAATAAATTAAAATTAAACTAACTATGTTAATAAAGGGAAACAAAAGCAAAAATACAAAAAAGAAACTATAAATTATCGATCTTCGTGTTCTCTTTTCCCAGTTTCACTCTCAGTAAACTAACAACAAACCTGATAGAAAATAATCTGAGAGAAAACAATCTGAGAGAAAACACTATGAGAGAAAGAGAAAACACAAACTAGATTCTGGTGAGACCAAGAGGGAGGAGAGAAAACACACGGGATTGCGACAAGATCAACAGAAATGCATTCATTAAAAAATGAATAATTACTTGTTACGTAAAAAATATTTTGAAAGACATCAATAAGAAAGCGATGGAAATGACATTGCAAAATGGGAGAAAGTTGTGGATGCATACCTAGCAAAAAGAAAAAACAAATGGGGATTTTTTTTTGGGATTGTGAGATATGAAGGAATAAAGGATGTTTCATGGTTAGATAACAACCTTAGGAATATATGGTTTGGATCTTATAAAACTTGGGTGAATATCTCAAAGTTTGAAAGAAAAACAATGAATGGAATTAAAGAGATGGAGATAGATACTAAGAAATTACACAGAGAACAAGAACCAGAAAATAGGAGGAATGGGAAGACAGAAACAAACAATAGAAAGGTATTTTCAGACGGGAGAAGGAGAGAAGGTAAATCATATGTAGAGGTAGTTAGAAACACAAATAACTATAACGGAAGCAAATAAGGCCTATTGGAGAAACCTCAAGAGTGGGCAGGCAATGGGCAAAAAAGTGGTTTCATCAGATATTTAAAGAAAGGTGAGGGAATACATAGCATACAACAACAATTGACATAAGAAGGCATTATTACAATCAAAGTTATAAATCTTGGCGGGAAAAAGGTGTTCCCAAAGGTAGATGAAGGGGAGGACTTTAAAGAATTGGTTAAGGATTCTAAACCATTATTCAATAGATGGTTTAGCTCAGTAAGAGAATGAGAAAGCAGAAATGTCAATGTAGTGAGATTAGTCTGGTGTCGAATATACGGGGTCCCGGTGCATGCTTGGAGAATAAAGACGCTCTCAACTCTAGTGTTGGCTATGGGAAATTTCATAAGAGTAGATTATGCTACAGAAAATATTCAAAGGCTAGACATAGCGTGTGTTTTAGTTAGAACTCCAATTTTAGAATTGATAAACACGACTAAAAGAATTTAGATTAATGGAGAACTTTTCACCATTAGTATCACAGAAGAAACTTGTGATTGTTACTTGCTTCATCAAGTTTCAGAAAATCAGGATAATACAAAGGTGATAGAGGAATACGATTCAGACGATACGTGCATTGCTCATTCAATTTCCTTCATTGAAGAGGAAGAAACCAAACGAAGGTTAGAGGTAAATTTTTGGAGAATATTACGAGAAGAGGATAAAAGAAATAATGAAGGAAGTATGGAGCTTAAGGAAGTTGATTAGGGTATGAAAGAGACAAATGACATGGGAGGCAATAATGAAGAGTAGAGTTTCGAGAGAAGCGCAAAACATGAAAGTAGAAAAGAAGAAAGAGGACAGACCAATAGAGAAGGAGATACAGGAGCAGAAGACAGGTCAGATGCAATGAAAAGCAACAAAAAAAAGGAGAAGGCAACGACAAAGAGGTGGGAGATAGAACACATTTATTGCAAGATATAATTGAAGAAGGAAGACTAAAGAAAGCTTCAGAAAAGCCGTCATTGAAAGAAAATAGTTTAGACAATCAGTATTATAGTAACGGTAGGCCCAATAAAAATATAGGTTTAGACTTTAACGGGGCAGAAGGGACTTTACAGATAGGGCAATGCAATGGTTCAAGCCCAATCAGGCTTGGTAACAATATATGCGATTCGACTCAGTACACAAAAAATGGAAGCATGAACTCACTCAAAAAAGAAAAGAATAAACTGAAGATTGCGGGAGATAATAATGAATCAAATCACAAAGTTGATGTCTTCCCAGGAGATAAAATC